TCTTATTTGGATTATCATATGAAAAATGTAGCTTCTTCTAGAGAGAGAGGTAGGGGTTTCTTTCATAGAGAGACAAAGCTTTCATAGAGAGAAGTGAGCTTCCTAGAGAGAAACACTAACTTGCTACTTCTTATCGAGAGTGAGAGGCTGGTTTCTTGTAGTAAAATGGATTTTCTCAATATTATTTTCTTAGACAGTGGTTTAGTATAATCGAGATACGAGATCAACAAATAATGTCAGTTGAGAGGGCTAGTATAAAAGAGTTGCTCACGTAGGACTTGTTGAGAGATAGAAAGGTAACGTTGTGTCCCAAAATCTATGATATAACTCTTATCGGTATAGTGGACTTAAATTTGATATACCTGTGGTTGTAGCCTTTTTGGTATGAACTATGTAAATCCTTGTGTATTTTTGGTCTGTATTCTCTTATATTTTATTATTGTAAGCTGTATTATGATAATTACTCTGGATGATTTTGTTTCTTGCCAAGTAGATACGCGATTTTTTAGGGATCCAATACTTGTCTATAAGAGGATTTTAAAAACCTAACAACTTTCAGCGTGGTCTTGTTGGGGCTTGTTTATGTAGCCTGTTAATGCTGTAAAAAAGGACAACCCCATGTATTGGTGATTTTTTCTAAAAGGTACAATTGGCCTATGGAAAACATAAAGAAAAAGAACTTAGACAAAATAAAATAGAAATCAATACTTCATACCCTGGATGGCCATCTTCTAACTGCTACACATGCTCTTTTCCATTTTTGTACTATCCAAGCACTTGAGTACTAAATGCATATAGGATTTGGGTATTTTGGTTGTTGAGAGATTATGGCGAACTTTTTAGGAGTACTTTCAGATTTTGAAAGGGTTCACCATTTAGCTAGCATAAAACGAAGAAGAAGAAAGGGAGGGTTAACAGACCAATTTAGGCAATATTTTACTTAGGAAAAGCTTTAAAAATGCTATAGAGTGAAATTGAACAGCGTTTTGCCCATAACGGCTCTCGGTGGTTTTGTCTTAAAAGTCGCAACGGCTTTACAAGAGCCGTGGCAGAATCTTGTGTTTTTCACATGAAAAACGACCTCAACAGCTCTACTATGTTGCAATACTTCAATAGAAATCGTAGAGCCGTTGCGGCCATTTTATCCATGTTATTCGATTTAATCGGACGGTACAGAGCCTATAGGCGAAAATACTGTTCATTGTTGCCTCACATACATTCGTTTGCAAAATCGCCCGATCTAACCGCTAACCGCCCTGTTAGATTGGAACCAGCTAGTGGCCGGCACCGGTTTTGGACAGTTAGGGTGATCTACTGGTATTTAAAAAAAAAAATTAAAAAATATATATAAATTCTCGAAAATAAAGAATTTGATTTGTAATGTATTTTTAAATATTCTTTACATTATGGTAAAGATTAAAAATTGCTTTGGTCATTAATACTCACTTTTATATTTTCCCATCTTTTTTAAAAAATTTTAAGAATAGCACTTGAAAAAAATAAAATGGGTTAAAATCCATTTTTTTCATCAATGTTCAACTTCATTTGAATGTATTTTATTTTAATCATTCTTTATATGTTTTTCATATTTTAGTAGATTTTTTTAGTATTTTTTTTTAACTCTTTTTTAACACTTTTTTGACTACCTAAGACTTGCCCGATTAGAACGGTTGAATCGGTCAGTTTACCGGTTAGGCTAGTTAAACCCTTTTCAGACCCATGTCTGTTTAACCGTTCCGGTTCGATTTTGCGAACGCTGACACATACGTTGCACAACGGCCTCCTTTTACTAAAGCCTTCAAGCTTTGCATAATGCCTGCTTATCTTAAACCATAAAAGTAGGTGATATGTGATATCCATTCCTCCTGTTGATTCAAGGAGGTAAAAAATTAGAGCCCCCCATGTCTCACAACAAGCCACCCAGCCACTGAAATGAAATGCCACTGGCGTTTCCGAGACATGAAGTTTCACTTCACAATTACGGTAGCACACTTTCATTTCTATGGAATGGGAGCGTCATAGTAACATAACTAAACTGCCACACTATTTTGTTTATTTATTTATTTTTTAGCCTTGGGGATAGAGGGTACTTAAGAAAAATAAACTTAAAAAAAAAGATACAATATATATAACAAGGGGTTATAAGGGGAACCTGGCTAGAACCGATAGTATTTAGAAACTAGTTCAGTCCCGATCGATTTCCATTAGAATGGGTTGAATTGGTTCGAAAATCGCTAAGTTTTAAAACACTGATGTTAGTTATGCTTGGTTATAGTCAAAATCACTACATCTATGTTTTTTTTCAAAAAATAAACCATGTAAATCTTGTGTCTTTTTGGTATGATTTTATATTTTTGTTTTATCTATTGCATTCAATAAATGGTTGTGCTCATTTATTTTGCTCTAGCCAACTATATATACACAATCTTGAGTGGTATTTCAATATATGGGGTTTCTAGTTCCACAAATAAGGGCGATTGAGGTAGTCTTAGTTCCCTACATTGGTTTTAGAGCATAAGGTGTACACAGGACTAAGGTTTCTATTAAGAAAAAGATGAATGGTGAAGTTTGATGGATGCATGATTTGAAGTTGAAAAATATAAAGGCAAAGTGTTTGTGAAAATTCTATCATAGATGCTAGTGAGAAGAAATCCACAAATCTATTAAGTAAAGGTTGACAAGGTAATTATGGTGTTTTTGCTATTAAAGTAGAGATTGTTAAAATCCCTCGTATATATATTTTTGTTCAAAATATAAAAAAAAAAAAGTTTATATAAAGCCGAGGTTCTAAACAATCAAATTTGAGCCCACCTCAAAAATTTCCCTAGAAGAGGTTGTTTTGATGCCCAAATATCTTTAAATTGATCATCTCGAAATCAAGATACATGGACATGAGAAAAAAATGGATCACAGGTTTTGGAAATAGTGTATTTTGTGATGTATTTTTTGGCTATCAATTTTCAACGTTGCATAGAGATGTCGAGCTATACTATTTTTGAAGCTTTAAACTTTATAAATAGATATAAAAATATATTTTAAAGCTATCACAAAGATTTCTAATATTGAAACTATATTTCTCGACTCTATTTGAAGGCAGGTTCTAATTTGATTGTTTAAAGCTCTATACAAACTGCACCTAAATATAAAAGGTAAAACAAGAAGACTTCCTTGATGAGAGAAAAAGGCCTAGTAAATTTTTATAAAATGGGATATATACTCATCTTTTTTAGGATCATCTTTTTGAGGACTTTTTTCATCAATTTTACTCTATCCAACTATATCACGATCTTGGATGCAGCGTGATGATATGATATATAGGATTTCTAGCCAAGAAAGTATGATCGAGGTAGTCTTAGTTCCTCACAATATCAACACTAAAATGCACACATACTTGTAAACTGCACATATATGTGTGTTTATACATCTTGGCATAAATAAATAAAGTGATTTAGCATTATTTGGACGCACCACCCACTTCCATTATAACACCTCAAAAGTGGAAACCAGAAAGGTTTGATATCTCTCCGAATCGTACACACAGTCCGGGACCACAATTGGACCACTGTAACCTAATCATGGTCCCACGCCTTAGTTTCCCAACCCTCAACAAGAAGAAGAAGAAGCACAAATCCATCCAGCATTTCAAACTCCATTTCTCCAAGGTTCAAAATCAGCCAGAAAAATCACAATAAAATAAAAATACATCCATTTGCTTATCCATTTCATCACCATCGATTATTGATTATAGTCATTATACAATGTATGGAGCATACTGTACTCCTGTTAAAAGGACCTTAGCGCGCACACACATATCAATGTACAAATCCCCCATTACACAACAAACAGTAAAACGCAAAAAGCCTGCAACCAAACAACACACAGGGCCCACTGAAACTTACCAAAAGCACAAAGGTTTCAGGCCTCGTTCTCAGGAGTTGGTTGGTGGGTGCAATTAGTAGGTCCATGTCTTGAAAAGTGGGCTCGGTCAGAACCCCATCCCTGCCGCACCCACGCCGAGAACCGGACCAGTGGCTCGGTCCAGGTTCCGGGTCTTCCAGAAACAGGCCTCGGGAGCGAGTCTTGCTGAGGAACGCATGGGCTCGGACTTGCACCGTGTCAAGACGAAGGGCTCGTACGCGTTGATTAGCTTTTGCTCTATGGCCTTAGCCATGGAAGCCACTGTTGTTTCACATGGTGTCTTTTCTCTCTCTTCATCTGTGCTCACTCTTTCAATCCGGTCGCCATTGCTGGTTGGGTCAATCTGTGTTTGGGGCTTGGGTTGTGGTGGTGGCAGTGGCGGAGGCGGGCGGTGGTGGAGGAAATCGGTGCTGCAAACCCATGTTTCTTTGGAGACTTCCATGGAGAGCTTGGGCTCGCACATCATGAGCAGGAGGCATTGGGGCAGTGGCTTCTCGGCCACGGGTTCGGGTTCGTACTTGTCCTCAAGGGAAGAGCACTCGGTTTCTCTTGCTACTTCTTCCAGTCCTTCTGTTTCTTTTGCTTCCTCTTCTTCTGCCGCTTCTCCTGCGTTTTCAATGCTAATGGCTTCTTCTCTTTCTTCCTCTTCTACTACTGCTGATGTTTCTTGTTCATTGCTCTCTTCCACTACTGCCGCTGTTTCTTGTTCATTGCTAGGGCTCCTTGGTTCTTCTTCTTCTGGTGCGAGCTCTGGTTCTTCTAGTTTGAGATCTTCTTTGATGGCCTCTGTTATATCGATTTCGCCTTCTTCCGTCTCTTGAGTATTTGCTCCATGGTCATCACTTGTGCAATTTCTCTCTGGAGCTTGAATTTCATGTTCCTCACTGCTCCTCTCTGCTGAAATTTCAGCTGCCTCTTCCTTCTCAGCTGAAATCTCTGCTGCATCTTCCTTGTCTTGCAATAGAGACTGGATCTTGGACTCCACCAAACCCATGAACTCGCAGAGCCCAGCTTCTTCTTCTTCTTCCTCTAGGGTTTGTAGAAGAACTTCCTGTGTAGCAACTTCATCTGTTACTGCTACACCTTCTTCTTCTTCCTCCTCTTCATCTTCTTCTTCGTCGTCGGCTTCTTCCTCTTCGTCATCCTCTTCTTCGCTCTCATGCCTGTGCTCTTCTTCTCCCGCAACAGGGGAATCCCAGAACCGATTAGCCAGAGCAGACATCCTCAAAGGCTCAGATCTGCACCTCATAAGCAGCAAGGCATTTCTTGGGGGAACAGCAATGGTGGGTTCCTCCTCCTCCGCCTCGTCGTCGTCCTCCTCCACTTCCACTTTGTTCACCTCTCTCCTCTCTTCTAACTCCTCCTCCCCTTGATCAGCTAGTATCAGCCTCCTCTTCTCTGAACCCACCTCCGCCTCACTCAATGGCAGCCTCTTCTCGTCACTCTCCTGCAAAACCATCAACCACTTTGCGAATACAGCACCACAAGCACTAGCAGCCCCATCCTCCTTCTCCTTGACCGCCTGAACATTAGATTCAGAGCCACCATTATTGGTGGCGCCACCTCCTCCACCGCATGGAATAAAGCAGTTGAACTCAGCCCCAAAAGTCCTTAGAGCCTCACATATATTGAGAGAAACCTCTCTCTTGAACCCAAACAAATGGGCCCATTTCTGGTTCCTGTGAGGCAAGCAATCGTGCTGCTCCCTCTCTCTCTTGCTGCTCCCCCTGAAGCTCACCTCTCCTGCTTGCCTGGCTCGAGCCCTGCGGCCACCTTGCTTAGTCTTGACCCGAACCTGGCCTATGCAGGTCACCTTTGGAGAAGATGGCTCTTGGGTTTCAAAACCCGACGCCTTTTTCCGACCAGTCGGGAACATCGGGCTCGACTGGCCTTTCACACTTCCATTGCTTTTGAGCCTGCGGCTCGGGGCTTCTCTGAACTTCGTATCCGTTCGACCTGGGCTTAAAATGGATTTGGAAGCGAGCTTCATCGAGGAGGAGGAGGAAGACGAAGAGGGTCTAGATGTGAAGCAGACAAAGAGCTCACTTCCACTTCGATGTGATCTCTCTCCCTCCATCTTCATAAACCATCAGCCGAAACAAGCATCTGTTTTCTCTCTCTAGAGCTCACTCCAGAGCAATGCGTTCAGAAGAAACTGAAGGTTTTTGAGAAAATCAAATGGAAAGAAGAGGTGGGTTCCTCCTCCTTATTCAGAAGAATGCTGATCTCTCTTTCTCTCTCTAAAGACCCACCTTGATAACACCAATCTTCACGGTTTCTCCTGCATTTGCAGCAGTACTTCAGTCGGGCTTATGTTTCACTCTCTCGCGAGAGTAGCACAATTTCTCTCTCTACAACAGTGGCGCAGAGATGAGAGAGAGAGAGAGAGAGACATGCGTTGTTGTGTAATGAGAGAGAGAGAGAGAGAGAGAGAGAGAGAGAGAGAGAGAGAGAGAGAGGGTCACATGGGAGGTGGTGCACAAGCATCCAAACGCCACCTGTGAAGGGCGCACATGAGTCTGGCTGCAGCCGAGGGCGACGGGTCGTGTAGGGGTTTTTAATGGGGAAAGGCAGAGATGAAGAGAGGGTCACTTTCGCTTGCCTAGAGAGAGAAAGAGAGGGGCTTGCCCACAGTGCTTAGCTTTAATTAATGAATCTTTGAACTTGTGAAAGGTAGGTTTGACCGAGATCAAATTGCTTGTGGACAAAAAGTTGAAGTATTTTATAGTGTGTGAAGAGGATTCCCTGTTGCCTTCTCTCTCTACTATCTTCCCATTTTTGGCGATGTTTTCTCTCTCTCTCTCCATCGCTTCTCGTGGATCTAAGCGAACCCAAACTCCCACACTGAGTCTCGAAGGTTTGTGAGTGGAGAGGGGACTGCGGGCAGAGTCTCACGAGTTTCGTCCCTTCGCGTTCGTACGTGGATTGGATTATTGACCATCGCTTCTTTTTACTTTGATCATCCTAAAACTTCATCCTTCAAGTAACAAATCGGGCTTTGCTAATTTATCTGGGGCGGCTTGGATTCGGGTCCGACAGGGACCCGAGGGTAGACTCGCGTCATGGTATCGCTCTAAAACTTGAATATCCCATAGGTCGGGTTTGAGTTCGGACATAAATCTCCGATCCAAACACTATTTAGGTCCAGGTCTATGTCCGGGTTCATTATCTAAAATATAGTTAAATATATTGATATTTTAATTTTTAGATTAGTCAAGTTCAAGTCCCGCACAATATTTTTTGGTTAAGGTCCATATCAGTTTTTTTGGGTCCAGGTCCAGCCCACCCCGCCTGACCCGTAGCCACCGCTACTAATTTGTCTCTTTTCTCTCTAAACAGCCCTAAAGATTGAATTTAGTCGACCATGGGTTATAATTGATTCTTGACTAAATTTGTTCATTGGACCCTACCTATTAAAAAGCATTGAACAAATTTTGCAATCCAACAGGTTTTGAACATCTGATATCCACATGGAAATTCCATCCATATGTCTTTTATAGGCCTTCTTCTCTCCTTGTCTTTGGCTCCAACGATGGGGGCCCCTTCAATGGCTCTTGCTTTAATAAAACATTACATATATATCCTTCAAAACTATGCTATTTAAATTTTTTTTTTTTTTTTTTTCAAAGTTTAATGTTATGTTGATCCTATTTTTTTATATTTTTATTATTTCCAAATTGTTCATGTTTCGAACCTTCAAGATATGGAGGTTTTTGAATTTTTTTAATACAAGGCCCTTCCATATTGGGAATTGGAAGGTTTATTGTTGAAACAAAAAACAATCAAATAAATTCACCAACTTTGAACCCTGAAATTCTGAACAATTTCATTTAAAAGTTTTTTTTTTCATTTATGCCCTTTTTTGAGTTTCTTTCTATCTTTTTAAAAATTGCGCCTATCGCATTTCAAAGTAAAAGTATTGTCTAAATTTATATTGTTCCTTGTTTTTATTAATTATACATTATGACTAGGATGTCTTTTCTTCCCCTATTCGCCTTTGACTTCTTTGTTCTTATCTTCTTATTCATCAACTTGACTTCTACAGTTTTTTTTGGACGTGGTTGAAAATCCTATGACAAACGGCTTGTTATGGTAACATTGGTTAAGCCAACAAGTTTGTTAATAATCCTTTTTTCAAAATTGTTATTGAAGTACCTTCTTATAAATGTATCTAAAAATACCCAAAGTACCGTTACTGCGTTTCTGTAAACAGGATGAAGTATCATTTGAGCTAAATGAGTTGAATAACCCTAAATGCTACTTCTTCTATTGCCAAACAGAACAAGTGATTAGACCTATCATCTCCCATATGAGGGAGTCAGCATAGGCGGAAACTTGGGCTTTTCCCTTGTCAAAGAAGGTGATTATTGAAAATTTAGTGCTAGCAAGAAACCAAGTCTATCATTCCAATGGCATGGTTTTCTCTTAATCTCAAATACTTCAAGCTTAATATTGATGGTGCATCCTTGCAAAACCCAGAGCTAGCAGGTGGTCGTGGAGTTATTTGAGATTATGATGGGGTTTTTATTGTAGTGTTCGCCAAACCTTTTGGTATTGCTTCCAATGATTTTATGGAATTCTTTGCTTTGGAGTAAGGTTTGGCTCTAGCTGTCCAGCTGAAATGCTTTTCCCTCCAAATAGAAAGTGATTCTTTTTTGCTCATGAATGTTATCTATAATCATTGCAGAGCCCCATGGGCCTTAGACACGGTTGCAGTCAATAGCAAGTCTAGACTCTCTAATCATATATGGTCCATTACCCACATCTTTCGTGAGGTGACTACGGTAGTTGATATTATTGCTCAAAGAGCCACATCCCATTCTGAGGCTACAGTTTGGCGTTCTGGTCTGCCAGATTTTGTTACACTTGCTTTGGGTAGGAGGTCTTCTCCCTTACTGATTTACCTCCAAAAAAAAAAAACGCTACTTGTTCTTGAAATATATATTTTTTAAGAAAACTTGTTTCAAGTTTGTAACTTGGAATTAACAAAGGCACTTTGCCATGGCCCATTTATGTCATCCGAACCAAAAGAGGCAAGTAGCTTGTTCCCCTCTCAAACTGGATGCAAGACGCGGTTAGCGTGCGCCAAGCCTGCATATCAAGAAATGCAAGCTTAGTAATAAATATATTTTTGAAATATAATTTGATCTTTATTTTTAGTGAATATATAATATTTAGCATAGAGATCATGAATATAAAAAAAATAAAATAAAATTTGAAAACTAGAAATAATATTTATATTAAAGAAACATTTGGATCATTAGTAACAATTGTTTCTAGATGGACCATCTATTCGCATCAATATTTAAGATGGATGTTTTATACCGCTGGACTGCATATTATATAAATGTGGTTCAGCCCGCATGAAATAATTGTTCTTTAAGAATAAATATATTTAATGTTTAGAACCTGAGTAGGGGTATTTAAATCATTAAGTTTGAGTAATTTAAGTGGTCAAATTACTACAACGACCTCCCTAGATCAAGTTCCAAATCAGTCTGCAAAATAGTTGAGGGGAAACTAAGTAAAATAATTATTTAAAAAGTAACCACCACAGAAAAATTAGTTAGTTCAACTACCTTGCTGAGTTCTTGAGGTGGTTTGAAATTTTTATTGATATCTTACCTAATATTGTTTGTTGTTATTGACAAAGTGATTATCTGTAGATCACATGCATGCATTAGGCACACAGGTGTTATAGAGAGATTGTTTCTCAATAGCTCGTCGTTACTAATGGGTTTAAATGAAATGAAAAAGAAATCTATGTTATCAAATAATTGGGAAAAAGTTATGATGATGATGATGACGAAAAAATCTATGTAACTCAAGCAAGGGTCTCCGAAATTCAAATAAGTAACAATTGATTTAAGTGTAGGAATCGGTCTGGCCTTAAATGGTGGTACCACATCTTAAATTCAATTCCTACCATTAAATTAGCCCCAATAAAATAAAATAACAAAAAAAACATTCAAGTGTACAACAAGACAACATGTGGGTTAGTTGAAGTAGAAAAGACCTGGAGACATGGGCCCTACAGTTGTCTATCATATGTTAGAGACCGGTTAATACAAAACATTTTTAGCATATGGCCAAATGATTATAAAAATAAAAAGGAAATGAGGCGGATCATATCATCTATGGTTATTCAGTAGTAATTTTAGGATTCTAGATTGGAAAAGTTTTGCAAATCTAAAAATGTGAAAAATGCTGTTTCAATATTAAAAAACTCTTTAATGATCACATCGATATCGAGATATATGAATATAAAATAAATAAATAAGATTTTGACTCCCAAAAATAATGTATCCTACAACACATCATCTGGACCGTCTACTTTCAAGTTTTTCATATATTTATAGATCTACTTGATTTGAAATATTTTTTAGTTTTAAAATTTTATAATTAGAGATGAAAATAGATTTATAAGTTATCCTGAGAATTTTTGACGCCAAAATTACTTGTTATGATAAAATTTGTAGGTGCACTTTAAATAAGGTTGCAATCTTCTATATTTTCGTGATATAACCTCATCAATTTTGGAACCAGCTACAAAAAAGGTACTCTATATGTGCCTGAAAACATTAACGTCCTAAAATTGGATAGGTACCATCCAATTCAGATAATAAAATCTAAGAGTTTATAAAAGCGAAGTACAGTTTTACTTTTTGAAATTACAAATATGTTGATCCTGAAATAGATCCCAAAGTTTTCAAATTTTATTTAAATTTTTCCGGAAATTTTTTCGGGATTGTTCTTTTGCCTGATATGCCTAAATCTGAAGTATGCTCAAGTGTAAATGCACAATTCATATAAATCAAGTAGATCTATAACTTGTATCATGCAACACATCATTTGGACAGTCCACTTTCAAGATTTTCATATGTTTATAGATCTACTTTATTTGAACTATTTTTGAAATTTAAAATTTAATAATTAGAGATAAAAATAGATTTACAAGTTATCCTATGAATTTTTTACACCAAAATTGTTTGCTATAATAAAGTTTGTAGGTGCGCTTAAATAAGGGGGCAACGTTATGCAAACCGCACCCTTCTACATTTTCTTGATATAATAACATCAATTTATGGACCAGCCACAAAAGGGAAAGGTTTTTATACTTTCTCTACAGCATAGAAGATCTATGCTTCTCCTATCATCCAGCCATCCAATTTTGTCCAAGTGAGCCACTTACCGTTTGATCTTATATCCGACATCTCAGGGTATTTTATTTTTAATTTTTTATACAATTTGTATGAGTATGAAATTTGGTACATGCCATATTCTCATTGTGGTACACCTACAAAAAAGACTAAAAATAATTTTTTGATAAAATATAATGACCAAAATACCCCTTGAAACTTTCAGCAGAATTTTGGTTATTTTATTTTATTGTAAATATTTTTATATTTTTATATCTGCGAGTTTAGTAGAGGATTGGACTCTCCAATTTGGTGTAAAAATATTTTATAGAAAAAAATTAAAAATTAAATAGTGTAGAGACATGATATTGTGATTAGGGTCATCTTAGCCCTCCATTCATAATGGAGTGTTGGAAAAGAAAAAATATATAAGTTTTATGTTGTAGGAGAACATAGAAAAGCTTACGCCTCAAAAAAGAGGTACTATTTTGAGTAGGAACCATCTTACACCCCACAAAATAGGTACTATTTTGAGTAGGAACCATCCAATACAGATAATAAAATCTAAGAGTTTATAAAAGTAGAGTAAAGGTTTACTTTTTGAAAGTACAAATATGTTGACTCTGAAATAGATCCCAAAATTTTCAAATTTATTTATGCCTGATATGCCTAATTGTGTAGTATGCTCAAGTATAAATGCACAATTCATATAAAGCAAAATACATTGCTAGTTGTTGAAAATGTAAATAACTTAGGACCTTGATGGGACCAAAACTCTAGACGTCGCAACGGGCCACTGGACCACCTAGGCCCAGCGGTCATTCCTAGTTTTACAATTACAGTTTTTAAAAGCCTTTGTCGAAAATATTTTATAAATGCTTTTGGATAAATTCCTTTCCATGTTTATTTGGAGGTACATTGTGTCTTATATTGGTTTGGGCTAAAATGTTATCTTACAATAGAAAAGCATAAATTTGTCTTCTATGAGAATGGAATAATTGATATTGCTTTGTTTTTTTGGGTGCAGTTGGCATATGGATACATCCGTAGCTGTAGTTGTAAGGAGCGCCTTCAAATTTTATCATGGTATACAATTTTGATGTAAAATGTTCTTAAGATTATCTCAAAATCTATTTTTATATCTAATTATAAAATTTTAAATTTAAAAAATGGTTAAAATCAAATAGATCTATAAACATATGAAAATCATGAAAATAGACGATGTAGATAATATGTTGTAAAATGTACTATTTCTGATACTTAAAATCTTTTTACTTTTCATGGTTATACGTCTGGATGATCAATCAAGGGTTTTTCAACATTAAAACTACTTTTTCTAATAGATTTTTGAGGTGCATCCGTAGCTCTACATTATAAGGTTGCAACCTTATATAAACTTTTTCTTTTTTTTTTCCTTTTATATTGTAGGATCTGATGTTTAGTAAAAAAATAATATAGAATGAAATCATTTACCTTTGATGCAAGGTGGTCACAATTAATTTTGACCATAAGATGTAAAATTGGGTGGCTGCATTTATTTCATCGATCAATCTCAAACTTCAAAAAAAAATTTCTTATTAAACTTTGTTACAAACCCAAACTATCAAATTTCACATAGGATAGTTGTATAATGTGGTTCCCCTCAAGGGTGTATTGAACAAGGGAAGCTTTAGACCCTCTACTTATTGTGGTTCCCCTCAAGGGTGTATTGAACAAGGGAAGCTTCAGACCCTCTACTTATTCAACAAATAGTTTCATTTACACTGTTAGGGTGGAAGCAAATCATTAAACCATGGCCACAAGAAGCAGCAATAATTGAATAATGAAAAGAAAACCAATGTCCTGAGAAGGAGAGCAAAAATTAGGACATTGACAGGTAACATTTGAGGTTTGAAACTTCCTTGCCCAAGGCTATTCAAGTGGCGGCTGCTGTTGGCCGACTATCTTCACCTGCGAGAGTATGTTTGAAGTTAAACACCCCGGCTAGGCCTCGTCCCTTCGCAAGGTGCTCCAACTCCTCGATTTTGTGCTTGAGAAGCTCTACTTCTTTTGCTAAATCCTCGTCCCTTTGTCTCAATGCCTACAAAGTTAGCAAAAGATTTGCACCATAAAGAAGTTATATAACATTAATGGCTTTCAAGATGTTGGTCAAATTCACAAGAAATTCCATTGCATCAGCTCTCTTTCATGTGCTAAATGTGGACAAGTAAACAAGAATGACTTCACTCTAGTAACAAATAAATAGCAGTATGTGCAAGACGGGAAAGCATTTCCAGAGAAGTTTTCGGCTATTGAAGCTTAGACATGGACAGGTAACACAACGAATGCAAGGAATTTCACTATAGTAAACCATGAATGGCAGTAATACTGTTTTTTTGGTGAGCCATTCTAGCAATAATAAAAGGAAAGCATTTCTAGACAAGAAAATTTCCACTTTCAAGACAACCTCATCTTTTGCATCGTCATAACCCTTTTAGAGCCAACCAGTAAAGAGTGCGCATTACCCAAAGAATTTTGAAAATCCTCATTTCCCCCAAATTCACACTCACTTTCAAACAATTACAGCACGCATTTTTCTTGTTCTATTTGTGCATCTGTTTGCTCATTATATTGTCTGCTAAAGAAAATTCCCTTCGCTCATTCTTTCATTTTGCATCAATTATTTTTTTCCGTCAATTAATAACCTGAACTTTTTTGGCATGTTATCCCAGTCTGGTTTTGCAGTAGACCATAACAAATGTCCTGACAGGAGATTTAGTGACAGATATGAGGCTGAAAATAGAAAAGACTAAACATATTTGGCTTCTGAGAATTAAATGTTGTTCGATGACTTTCCTATTCGATCTATTTTAAGTTGAAGGGCGGTTAAGCTTGAGATACCTCCTCAAGGCCATAGTTATCAAAGGAAAAACACATTTCTACATGAGTCGGCTTGCCTCGCCTATGAGAACCCTTATTTCTTTATTGAGGTCTGTAACATATATAAACACATATACAATGAAATGCATCCAAAAAATAAAAGCTTCTGAAAGAATTGATTCAGCTACAGCAAATGCTAAAAAAATGGAAACCTGTCAGAATTTGTACTCTTCACATGCTGACTGATACAAACAGACATGTGCAACAAGTGCTCTCACAATAGTTACTTAAAATAAGAATTCCTCGGCAAGAAATATAAAAGCTCATAAACATATCGTAAAAATACATAAATGAATATGGAAAAAGAAAGCACTGGCAATTGCGCCAAAGAAAAGAATTTAATGAACTAACCTCCAGCTCCACCTTTCGTGCTTGTTCCTTCCTGGCTTCTGATCGAGCGTTTCTTTGCACCTCAAAGATAACGATAGCTCCAGCAACCTACACATATACAGGCCCGACTAAGTAGTATGAAACAAAAATTGCTAACAGAAACTGAAGAGTACGTAGAGAGTGACAAAGTCGGCAAATGCTACAACTCCAAGAGTGACACAGTATATACAAAGTAATATGTAGAAAGTGATAAAAATGGAAAATGCTACAACTCTTGGGACAAAAACTGATGCCCAATCAGCAGCAGATGTAGTACACATATCATGCCTTCATAATTTGGAGGAAAGCAGCTTGAGTTGCAAGTTTAGAAACAACTCTCATTAACCATGATAGAAGACACACATTCGAAGTTTCACAAAAACGAAAATTATACTTCCATCTCGTTGTGAAGGTTGGAAAACAACCATTCCTCTTAAAAATAATAATAACAATAATAATAATAATAACAACAACCACAACAAAGAAAACAAGAAAAAAGACATTTCTAGTGAAACTTAGAGTTCAAGCGTGCTAGAAGGACTTTTTAATCTTACAGATAAATCCAGTGATTATAGAAGGAATCCAGAGCTACACACAGTGAATGGTTTCATGGATAAATACTCTGGTTTCACCCTTAAAATTCACAACTCAATGTTACCGATCATGTCAAGCACTCAACTTATTTTTTGATATTAAAAAATTGATCACAAACGGAATCCAGTGATTGGTTTCATGGACAGATAAAATCTGGGTTTGTCCCTTACACTTCACAAAAGTTCTCATGGCTAATAGTGACATATACTTTAATAAGTCAGGAGTCATGAATGACAAATTAAACAGATCCTGTAGCAGTACCTCTTGACATTTACATAAATCTTAGCCCAAAAAAAGAACATTCCCATCAAGAATTCAGCATAGTGCTACAAGAATTCAGCATAGTGCCACAAGATCTAGTTAGCACGCACATCCAGCGGAAGGAAATTAGTATCATTTGCTCTTAAAGCCATCGGTGTTACATATTAAAAGAAGCTAAATTGGCATTGCCAGAAATAGTGATCTCAGAGGGAGATTTTACTGACGCATATATACCAGCAGGGACAGCCTTTCCAACTGAAAAGAGAATTGTTCAAAGAACTCAAGAATCAAAATTTCTAATTTTGTCCTACAGGAGAAATGAAATTACATTCAGGAAAACTATATGATCATCTTTGCTGAGAAAAAAAAAGGAAAAACAGAACTTCACCCACATCACTAAATTAGTACAAGCATGAGAAGGTACATGTTGCTGTAAACATCAATACTCACTCTCAAGCTGGAAAAATTGCATCGAACTGTTGCCAACTTGCATAATAACCACAGGCAATTTCCTGTAGCTTTGCAAAGACATCATCAAGATGAAATCATATGCATAGATTAAGAGTTTCCAAAATTCCTTCTACTGCCTATGCACTCTACAAGTGACATCCTACCTATCTGGACTTACTTTCAACTGGGAACATCATTAATGACATGCATCTTGTCATTCCAGTGTCCCAATAACTTTGTGATTATCATAAATGTCAGGATATTTCACAAAAAAAGGTTAGAAGTAGTTGATGCCAGATCCCGCATAACACGGGATTTGGGTACCATTTATTTATTTTATTATGTTTCCACGAAAACTCCGCCATGGCAGGTCCCAACCCGGTCATGCCAGTCTTTTGTGGATGGTATCAAATCATTATGGGAAGTGAACTTGAGTCGTTCGTTGTTGATAAGCATGTTTTCTTGGAATGTACAACCTCTGTTGCGACCAACATGTCTAGTATTGGTGACTCCTCTGCCATCTCTAGTAATCCAGATGTGTTCTCCCATTTGGGTACATAGAGAGAATGTTCAAGAAGTCGGAGGCAGCTGCCTAGGTGGTGGGGAGGGGGGGGCTGGGCCACCTAGGCACTAAGGCGGCACTTCCAATGGCAGCACTTTGCTTCACGATGATTGAGAGTGGGAGGGTTCTCCAATGTGTGAGGATTTTTTAATGTGTGAAGAGCAATTTCCAATGAGTTGCCTTTGTCTCACAATGATTTTGAGAGAGAGAGAGGGAGAGAGAGAGAGAGAAAGAGAACTTATTCAATTAGTAGCAATTCACACGATGAGAGAGAGAGAGAGAGAGAGAGAACTTATTTAATTACTTGCAATTTGTCCTACGATGAGAGAGCGAGAGAGAGAACCTTTTTAATGACTAGCACTTCGTTCCACAACGAGAGAGAGAGGGAGAGAGAGAGAGGACTTTTTAATGACTAACACCTGGCCTCACGATTTGTGTTGAGTTATTTACGCTGTGAGAGAGAGAGAGAGAGAGGACTTTTTTAATGACTACACCTTTCAAGATGATTTGTGCCGAATGATTTATGTTTTATCTGTTACCCTCTGATTGCATGTGGCATTTATAATGAGTACTAATAGCTAAACAAATAATTATTAGCTTATCTGGCAAAAATATATTAATTGTTTCCCAAAAGGTCGACATGTGGTGGGTTTATTCTTGAAATGTTAAAGGGCTAATCAGGCTTATCCATCTACATAATTAGCCATGACGAATACCTCACCTTTTCCCATCTCTCTCTCTCTCTACAAAACGAGCCAAGAAATACCTTACCTTTTTCACATCTCTCTCTCTCACGCTAATACTGACTACTCTTGGATTTCCATCTACAAAACTGGCTAAAGAGAATATCTTTCATCTGTTTCCTCAAGCTTTGTAAAGCAAATAGGGTCGAGCAATTTCAAAACAAAAAAACAAAAAACATGCTAATAGGGTCAAGGTGAAGCCTAGGCGTATACCTTTTACCCCGCCTAGTCGGGTGCCCTAGCAAAAACCGCCTAAAACAGGCCGCCTTGACAGCACCTAGGCATTTTTTGAAAAAGTCTGCCTAGGTGGCCGAGTGGCCGACTTTTTGAACATTGTATAGAGATAATCCTGGACTGCAAATTACAATCATCAAACTTGATGGGACAAATTATTTAGAATGCTCAGTCTACTAAAATATTGATTGGTAGAAGGGGAAATTGCTATGCCTGGGTAAACTATCCCTTAACCTATCTCATGCCCAGGTAAAGGAGCTGGCTTGTGTTAGATAGGCAGCCAACATAAAACTTTTGCTAAAACTCATCATGAATCCTAAACCAAAAGAATCTGCTTATGTTAGGGCGCTCCCCAGAAGCGACGCACCCTTAATAGAGCATAATGGCAAACTAGGCTTCATGTAGCTGACCCCAATTAGGTGGGAAAAGGCTATAACGATGATGACGATGGTGGAAGGGGAAAGTGCCAAACATCAAAGGTAGGATTATTGAACAGAAGAAACAAATCCCTCACATGAGTTTGAAACAAAAAATCTAACCGTAATTTCTTGGTTATTACACTCTGTGCAACCATGAATTAGTAGGGCCTTCTAATTCCTGTGCAAGAGAGACTTGGGATTTGATATACCAAAGGCACTCCCAAGGCAAAAATGTCGCTCAAGAGTACCAATAGAAAGAGAAAAATCCCATTTTCGACAAGGGAAGAGGCTCTTGCTGCATCTTCTCCTTCGTAGCACGTGGGAGGAGATGGACCACTACCAATTGTTTAAACCAACTTGTAAAGAAGATGGGAAAAACTCAAGTAGGTTGTAGAACATAATCGTACTTTTGAGTTCTTGGCGGATTGAACTCGAAGTTTGAGTTAAGGTTCAAACTTCAAATACTCCAATGGGATATTCTTCCATTGCTCAACCATGTGTGTTCATTTGTCCAAAGTGAGGAGAGTACAAAAACTGTCATGTTGCATGCTTAAGTAGTTGATCAATCTGCCCTTGTCTAAGCCTTACTGCTTCTTAAAAACGATAAGGGAGAGACCTTGGAAATTTGGAAAAGGATGGCCTAATCAAGGAGATAAAAGCAAGATGAAATGTGCTCATAGCAGGAGAAATGGTTATATTAGACAAGCTTATTGGGATCTAGTTGGCTGGCCAAATAAATTCAACCATCTGAGTCAATTTAATACTCATAATGCTTCATCGACTGGGAGCTCAGCTGTTGTTAGTACTAATCAGCTTTATGCAATGCAATCTAACCTTCAATTTCTACTCCTAAGGAGATAGTGTCAGTTCCTAAGGAGGAGATTGAGAGTCTTAGCCAACTATTTGAATAGTTCGATAGCCCGTCTCTACTTCTACTTCATCCTTTGCACACTCAAGTATTCATCATCATCATCATCATCATCATTTTAGCCGTTTCCCAATTAATTGGGATTGGCTACATGAATCCCGATTCTCCATTATGTTCTTTTAAAGGCCATATCCTTAGTGAGGCCATAAGTCCCCATATCTTTTCGGACAATTTCCAACAACATCCTTTTGAGCCTACCTCTTGCCCTTTTCAGCCCTTCCACTTGAACTAACTTGCACCTCCTAACAGGTGTTGTATTTGGTCGGCACCACACATGGCCAACCCACCTAAGTCTACTTCTTCTCATTTTATCGCCCATTGGTGTCACACCTAAATTCTCTCGAATCGATTCATTTCAAAATTTATCCCTTCTTGTCTTTGTCTCTCATCCATCTCAACATCTTGATATCTGCTACACTCATTCTATGGGTATATTGTTCTTTGCCCGCCCAATATTCCGCCCCATAGAGTAGCAAAGCTGGTCTCGCCGTTGTCCTATAGAACTTGCCCTTCAGCCTCATTGGTAAGCGGCAATCACATAAAATTCCAGTTGCACATCTCCACTTTGTCTACCCAACTCTAATTCTGTATGCGACAGCTTCCTCAATCTCTCAAATTTCCTGGATTATCAACCCAAGATATCGAAAGTGCGGTGTTTTTTATACTTCATGGCCGTCAGTCTTAACTACTTCTCGTCTCTATGTCTATTATTACTAACCTTGCACTCGATATACTTTGTCTTAGTCCGACTAATTTTAAAACCATTGGATTTTAGAACATCCTTCCAAAGTTCTAATTTTGTGTTGACGTTGTTTCGGGTCTTATCAATCAACCATGTCATCTGCGAACAACATGCACGGCGGTACCTCATCTTGTAG